ATCTTATCAATGAGCTACAGTCCATTGTTAACTGGGGCAAGAAGTAACTTGATAATTTTAACGCCTCCAAAACGAAACCACTCTCTTTTAATCGTTTAGAGAATCTTTCATTTTAACTTCCATCAGCATGGCTGATGCTAACTTTCAGGAGATTTCCTCGTTACACCTTCTACTGCTGACTTTTTTTCTGCTGAAAAGATGTGTAACGATTATATTGAATCAATTGCTAGGTCTGATGCTAGGTAGGTTGGTTGACTGTCGTGCTAGAGAAATTTTCTCGTCAGAATCTGTCTTGCACATTTATAAGTCGGCCATTCGTCCATGAATTGAAATATTGCTGTCACATCTGGTCTGGTACTCTGCTACGGATTTAGAGATTCTTGATGAAATCCAAAGAAGAATCTGCAATATTATTGGTCCTGATCTGGCTTCTTGGCTTCTGTCACTTTCCCACCGCTATAACGTAGCATCTGTGCCTTTTCTATAAATAATTTCATATTAATTGTTCTAATGAACAGCCCCCTTTAGTAACTTGACGTTTCGAATTTAAGCACAGAATAGGATCTCAAATGCAAATAGAAAGAAATTAATTTTATTGACTTTAAAAATAGGAAAGGTAAATTAAAAAAAGATAATTTCTCTTATAATATAATATGACTAACCTCAAGCTTTCTCAAGCTAAAAAAGATTAGAACAAAAATAAACAGAATCGATTAAGTTATACTTACAAATATATTTAAAACTTTTTAAATTATAATAAAAGTTTTTGAATTTAATAATAGTAATATTATGCATTTTTTATACATATTTCCATGGTAATTGTTGAAACTTGGATAAACATGGAATAATAATAATACAACACAAAATGTACGTTAACAAAATGTATTGAAACAAGGAAAGGGTACACAATATTTACAGTTAGTTTTGGTATATTCTTGGGAAGACTGTTCCTGCATAATGGGTTGACTAAATCGCAGTCGGGCAGAGTCTCTCGATTCGATCTCTTCTCTTCCTACGTCTTCCGGTACCAACCCATATTTATATGGTCGGTACTCCACTTATGTAAATTAGGTGTATCATACACAACAGTAATTATTCAAATTGGCTTTTCTCTTTGGTACTTTAACTTTATGCATTTAAGCTCAGTCGTAGATTGGCAGCAAGGTCTCATCAGTTTAGAGTTGAAATGTTTACATGTAACCGTAAGTTCTATGCTGACAGTTTCTTATCTCGTATTTCTCGCTTGTGGGACTCTTTTCCGGCTTCTTGCTTTCCTGTCAACTTTGATCTTCAAAAGTTTAAATGCAATGTCAATCGTTATCTTCTGTCCTCTCAATTTCTGTTCTTTTATTGTTCCCCCTCCTTGATAATATGCTAACGCACTCAGTAACCCCTTTTGCGTTTTAGTGGCTTTATTACCTTGTTTGCAGCGATTTTTTTTATAAAAAAAGAAAAACATAAACACTTTATATAAACACACATAAAACATATAAACACTTTATATAAACACATATAAACACTTTATCTAAACACTTTATCAATGCTGTACGTTTTCCTCGGAAAAATACAACGTAGCTGAGGTTACGTTGATGCCATTGGATTTAAATCTTTCAAATATAAAAGAATTGATAAGAGAAGATTTTTAAATGAATTCCTTTGCACTTAAAAATTTCCTTTGACTATTTTTTATTCTCTTGAGTATCAAGGCCGCGCCATTAATCTTTGGTTTCTCTCTTTTTATTCTCTTCTGATGTCACGAAATATCAAAGAAATATCACAAGGAAGTTGATTCCCTTTCTGAGTTTGATTTTTTTTTCTTTTATTTCTTTTTCTCTTCGTTTTCTTTTGTTTCTTTTGTCTTCTTTTCTCTTCTTTTTTTTTTTACTTTTCTTTCTTTACTCTTTTCGTTTATTTTTTCTTTTTCTTTTATTTCGTTTTTATTTACTTTTTCTTCTCTTTTTCTTTTCTTCTTTTTCTTCCTTTATTTTTCTTTAACTTTTTCTACTTTTTGTTTTCTACTTTTTAGTTTTTCTTTTCATTTTTTTATTTCTTTTGTCGTTTTTTTCTTCTCTTCTTTTTCTTTCTTTTTCATTTTTTGTCCCCTTTCTGTTTTTTTTTTACTTTTCTTTCTTTATTCTTGTCTTTGCTTCATTTTTCTTTTCTTTTTTATTTTATTTCGTTCTTATTTTCTTTTTCTTTTCTTTTTTTTTCCTTTTCTTTTCCTTTTTTTATTCTTTTTATTTTCTACTTTTCTTGTTTTTCTTTTCGTCTTCTTTTTTATTTCTTTATTTTCTGATTTCATTATTTTCCTCTTCTCTTTATTTTATTTCTATTTTCTTTTCTCATTTCATCTTTTTATTTCCTTTCTATCGATTTTCTTCTTTTCTTTTTTCCTTTTACATTTTCATTTGTTGTTTTATTTATTGATTTCTTCTTAAGTTTTCTTTATATTTTTCTTCTCTTTATGTTGTTTTGTTTTCTTTTTGTTTACTTTTCTATTTTCATTTTTTCTCCTTCTTTCTTTGCTTTTTGTTTTATTATTCTATTTTCATTTTTCTATTATTTTTTTCTTCCCTCCATTTTAAGCTTTTTTTTTCTTATTTTACTTCTTCTCAATTATTTTTCCTTTTCTTTTCTTTTTATTTCTTAATTTTTTCTTTTATTTTTTCTTTTATTTTTTATTTCTTACTTTCATTTTCTCGCTCCATTTTTCTTTTATTTATTTTCTTTTCTTCGTTTATTTCTTTTTTTTTCTCTTTTTATTTGTATTTTTTACTTTCTTTTTAAGTTTTCTTTCTTTTGTTTCTTTTTCTTTTCGTTTTTATTTAATTTTAATTTTTAGAATTTTTTATTCTTTGGTTTTTATTGTATTTCTATTTTCATTTTTCATGAATTTTATTGTATTTTTATTTTCATTAATTTTATTGTATTTTATTTTCATTTTCATTAATTTTATTGTATTTTATTTTCATTTTTCATGAATTTTATTTAATTATTTTCATTTTTTATGAATTTTATTTTATTTTATTTTCATTTGTGATGAATTTTATTTCATATTATTTTCATTTTTTCATGAATTTTATTGCATTTTATTTTCATTTTCATGAATTTTATTTTATTTTCATTTTCATGAATTTTATTTTATTTTATTTTCATTTTCATGAATTTTATTTTATTTTATTTTCATGTATTTTATTTTCGTTTGTCCGTTATTTCTGTTTCCCTTTTCTCCATTTTTCTTGCCTTTTTCCTTTTAGTTTATATATTTCTATTATTATTCTTTTAATTTTCTTTTTACTTCTTTTTCTTTTCTTTTTTATTTCTTATTTTAATTTTCTTTGCTATTTTTTCTTATTTTTTCTCTTTATTCCTTTATTCATTTCTCTTTTTATTTTTACATTTTCCGTTCTTTTTACTTTCTTTTCCATTTTTCTATTTTCATTCTTTTTGTTTCTTTTTTTAGAGCGAAACATAAGAAAAGGTATTTGAAGGCAAATTAGATTTTACTTGACGCTTACGTTCAAATACCGCTGAAATCTCATTTGATCACCGAAGTTAAGCAATGTCGAGCCCAGCCAGTACTTAAATGGGGTTCCTTTTAGGAACATCAGGTAGTGTAATCGAAAAAAATGCGTACATAAAGAACCGCTTTGGAATACCGGGTATTATAAGTGAAAACCAGCTGCAAAAGCGCACAAGGGCCAAGCAACTTTATCCTATAAACCGTCCTTGCTAGGAACACGACAAAAACAAAGCCTCTTTTATTAAGATCTGCGGCCCTATACGGCTTAGTGTAATCTACAGGACTAAAGAGAAAGAAGAGGAGCTTTTACTTAAGTGTCCTTGGAAAATCCATCTTCTTCCAGGTATGAGTTAAATCCCAGGATATACTAGGCTGTCTTGGCTCGAGGCGGCTACAAGTCTGGGAGAAAGTCTGGTTGGTTGGTTTTGTTTAGCGGCATAACAATCTTTATGAATTATCTAATACTGAAATATAAATATCCCGCATGCAATTTTATGCTTTCGACTCCAGATACGTTGGACGTAATTTTATACTCTCAATATTTATACTCTCTCGTATTTTTAGATATATCGTTTGTAGATAAAATTGGTAATTTTACTATAAAAATGTTGGTAATTTTACTTTGTAAATTTTATATTTATTATTTTTTCAGTACTTCATTGATTGTCATTTTTCTATAAAAATTGGTCATTTTATTATAGGAACTGTTAATTTTTCTTTGGAGGTTCACTATTTGCCGCTATCTGGGACCCTAACAGGTGCTACCACGCCGGTCAGAGTAGACCTGGGAACAGCAGCAGATAAAAAATCGTTCCACGCTTGATCAGAGGCCTTGCTGCTGGATGTAGTATATCGTCATACCCAAAACGAAGTCCCGGCTTTTGCTTTTGATCTCCGATCTATATAAGAACGGGAAAAATAACCCACACCGAGAACTCACAGAAGCGCACGGGCAGGAGTGAACGGGCAGGGGCACACGGGCAGGAGTGCACGGGCAGGAGTGCACGGGCAGGGGCGCACGGGCAGGAGCACACAGGCAGGAGTGCACGGGCAGGAGCACACGGGCAGGGGCGCACGGGCAGGAGTGCACGGGCAGGGGCGCACGGGCAGGAGTGCACGGGCAGGGGCGCACGGGCAGGAGCGGGCACGGGCAGGGGCGCACGGGCAGGAGCGCACGGGCAGGGGCGCACGGGCAGGGGCGCACACGAGAAGACTCACAGGAACGCAGACAGAGGAGTACTCACGGTACATTCATTTACTTCACAACACACCGAAGAAAGTCTCTCATTCGCAAACTCACAACATACTTTTTGCCCATAGCTGTGACGCTAACAGGTGCTACCACCCTGGATCAGGGTGGACTTGGAAACAACAACAGTTAAGAAGTGGTTCCGTCAGGTTAGCCTGCCCGAGACACACTACTTCCGCGTTGCAATGCTGCAATGGCTTCAGTGAATGTCGTGTCTCAACGAGCCAAATGGGGTTACGGGACTTGAATCGGAAATTTAAAAAAAAATAAAATCCCCGGGGCAAAGAATACGTTTACTGCAGAACGCAGTCGAGACATCTGGACGATGATGAAGATATTGGCAAAAAACAGGAATAATGGCGGTAAGGATTTCTCTATAAATAAAATGAAAAGCTGTTGTGGTAGGATCTACCTAATTTGCATAGTGGAGTACCGACCATATAAATATGGTTGGTACCGGGAAGAGAGGAAGGAATCAAGAGATTCAACCAGAGACTCTGACCGACTGCGACTCAGTCAACACATTCTCCAGGAACGGTCTTACCAGGAATATACAAAAGACTATATGTAAATAGTGTGTACACTTTCTTGTTTCAATACATTTTGTTCTAAGTACCTTTTGTGTTGCATTATTATTCCATGCATTAGTCAAGTTTCAACAAAAGCCCAAACGTTGCTACTAGCTGTCCTATTATTTGAGTAGCTTCAAAATGATTTTTAAAGTCCCTTATTCCATACCGCCTGCAATAGTCACACATCAGCGCATAGGGGATCATGGCTCTCCACACTTTCATGTCTTCTGTGGCTCTTAATAAATTTTCTTTTTATTTCTCCCAAACCTTGGTCAGCCAGCTATCCATTCATCAAGTATGTCATGCGCTGTTTTCCGCTGACCCTCTTGCCCTCAATCTGTCCTGTGAGTATCAGATTTTCCAAGCCATCCTTTCTCATTATGTGTCCTATAAATTTCAACTGTCTTTTTCTGATGTTAAGCATATAGTTTCTTATTTGTTTCCATTTTCTCTAAAACTTCGTCATTTCTCATATGTTCGGTCCATGGTATCATCAGTATCTTTCTGTAGAACCACAGTTCTGTTGCTCTTCATCTTTGTGTAGATCGTCCAGAAGTAATCAAATTTGTTAGGACTTTAAAAAAAATTGCCTTTTATTAGAATTAATCCCTTCCTCTGCTTAGGCGAGTATATACGTTTTTACCGAAATTGTCCTTTTCACACACGGACGAATTAACACGTCCAAAATTTAATGTTCAAAAAACAGCGACAGACGTGTTTATACGTTGATCTTGATTCTTTTTATGCCTTTCTGAGCTCGAAACGAGTCCAACTGTTAACTCATACGTCCGGTAGAGGTGTTAGCCACCGCTCGGGTACTTCAAGGTACCTCTGTTCTTAGTCAATCTTGATTCTTTTTATGCGTTTTGAGCTTGAAATGAGTCCGGTTTTCTTCTTGAAGCAGTCAAGAAAGTCTCTAAAAAATATTGCGGTATGGAAGGCTTACATCCTGTATAACAAATAAAAAAAAATCTCTGAAAATGAAACGCTTGCCTAAAATAATTGGCGGGGAATAGGTTAAAAGAACTTTGTTTTGTTTTTTTTCAGTTTTTTTAAACACGGTAAATGAGACGAATTTTTTTTGTGTGTGTGTGTGTGTGTGTGTATTTAACCACCATTGACGCAAAACACAGAATTCTACAGAGAACAGAAAAGAAAAATGGATAAAGATGAAAGTTGAGTGGAATATCAGTTATATCAACAGGCTAAAAAATCAGCACGCAAACAGAATTGAATGCAAACCATTTCTAAACGTTGCCCGATAGACAGAGAAGTCATTAAAAGGAAATTCATATTAAGGTATTATGAATAAATGTCTGATCTCTGGGAGAATATAACAGGTAATCTGCACTTTATGAACTGTCACGATGCTTCTCCGAGAAAAAAAAAAGCGGGAATATGATTTCA